AGTGTGCTAGGATTATAGGCATGAGCCACCTCACCTGGCCCAGGAGATTAACTTTTGAATTAGAATGTTGCAATAGGTCACTGAGGTAGGCTGATTATTATTTGAAAGAGAGGTTGCTGTGGTTTTTGCTTTGAACTTTTATGTACAAAACTGTAATTTTGAAAATGGAAGACTAGAACATTCTTGGAGAGACCACTGTCACTGTTCTCCAGAATTGTCAGCCCTCTGACAAATAAAATTTGGTGGACCTATCCCTGTATATTGGCTGACAGTGACAGGAGGCCAGACCCTCTTTGTCTGTTAACATAAGCACCTTGGTGAGCAGACATGTGATTGGATATTGCATTAATTGCTCAGCCAGAAATCAAGGTTTTCTCTCTTTCTGAGATCGGTTATCGTTAATACCACACAGGGTTAAACCAACAGTTAAGTCTGATTTACTTCCTCACCAGAGTGGACAGTTGACTTGAACACATCAAGATTCCTTTCACAAGATTTTTTTTTTTTTTTTTTTGAGACAGAGCCTTAAGCTGTCTTCCTGGGTAGAGTGCCATGACATCACACAACTCACAACAACCTCTAACTCCTGGGCTCAAGCAATTCTTCTGCCTCCGCCTCCCAAGTAGCTGAGACTACAGGCACCTGCCAAAACTCCCGGCTATTTTTTGGTTGCAGCCATCGTTGTTTGATGGGCCAGGGCTGGATTCGAACCCACCAGCTCAGGTTTATGTGGCTGGCGCCTTAGCCGCTTGAGCCACAAGCACTGAGCCTATTATTATTATTATTATTTTGAGACAGAGTCTTACTATGTGCCCCTCTGTAGAGTGTGGTGGCATCACAGCTGATAGCAACCTCTAACTCTTGGGCTCAAGTGATTCTCTTGCTTCAGCCTCCCAAGTAGTTGGGACTACAGATGCCCACAACAACGCCCAGCTATTTTTTTTTTTTTTTTTTGAGACAGAGCCTCAAGCTGTCACCCTGGGTAGAGTACCATGGCATCACAGTTCACAGCAACCTCCAACTCCTGGGCTCAAGCGAGTCTCCTGCCTCTGCCTCCCAAGTAGCTGGGACTATAGTTGTCCGCCACAACGCCTGGCTGTTTTTTGGTTGCAGCCATCATTGTTGTTTGGCAGGTCTAGGCTGGATTCAAACCCACCAGCTCAGGTATATGTGTCTGGCACCTTGGCCACTTAAGCCACAGGTGCCAAGCCCCAGCTATTTTTTTTT